TCTAAAATGTGTACATAACATTATTGAACTTTAACGATATCTGCAATTCATTTATCGCTGCTCTCCCTGCTCTCATCCATGCTAGGCTGCATGGATGCGCAGGGAGTTCTTGCCCAGAACAGAACCATACCGCCAATCCAAACTGTATGCTAATTGTCAATCATCTTTGACGATAGTGGTCCTGACAGAAATACAATTTTTAACTACTTGGACAACTTAAGGCAATACCAAATGATAAAAATACAAAAGTATTTATTTAAACATTAATGACAAAATATAATTTTATAAATACAATACACTTAAATATAAATATTATGATAAAAAAATCTGGAGTTTTTAACAACTTAAGATAATAAAAATATAAAAATAAAAATATAAAATATTTTAAATAACTTAAGATATTTAAAAGAAAAAAAATCTAATACATTTGTGGTTTCTTCCTTCAATTCTGCACAACTTTGACACCTGAATGACACATGCCAATGTCAGGGGGGTAGTATTATATGCGTCCGTGTATAAGTGTTTACCAACTTTAAACATTGATGCCCATTGACCTGCAAGTTTCCATCACTAACCCTTTAAAACTCTTTATTCCAGCAGTTTAAGTTTTTCCCTATAGTTCCCCCCACAATCTGTCTCTGCCTCCAAAATTGTCTGGCACAACTGATTTCATAGCAACACAGTGATAGCTGCTGTAACTAAAAAGTAGCCCAGTACAAAAATTAACCTCAAATGTATATGGAATAATAAATTCGCCCTTACCGTTTTTTTACATTATGTTTTCTGTTTGTACTGTTTAGGTTTTAATGCTGCATTGCACATCTGAGCTATTTGCACTATTTTAATACTGCTGCAAACTTTTTATAATTGATCATTTTTATATTGCCATTTTAAATCATTTGTTTTCTTAAGCTTTACTATCAATTTGGAACTTTCAAAATAAATCTTATTGTAACATTACTTGTACAATGACAAAGATATTCTATTCAATTAGCTCATGCTCTCTCTGTATCTAACAAGCCATTGTTCAGTCATAAATTCAATATAATAATTAAAATAAATTATGGACTTTAGTGAGGAATGTTGTTTTGGAGAGTTTTTTTTATTTAAATTTTTTTTACTTTTGCTGCCTGGATCTTTTCAATTTCCAACCACTTTTCCAGATATTGAAACTCCTCCTCAGTTTCTCCAATTCTTCTGAGTCTGTTCACTGTATAAATTAATATGGATTATTCTTTGTCAAACATTATAACAAACAATATAGATATAAATAATACACACGTCAAAACGAAAACACAGATACTTACAAGACCAAGTAGGAATGTCCTTTATCATTTGTTGTTTGCCCGCTGCTCTCCGACAAGTAAACTTAGTGTTCTCTCTTGTAAAAAAAATAAATTTAAAACACAACACTGATCTCTAACTCTCATGTCTCAGTAGGGCTACAATTGTCATCTAGCGGTTGGGAATTGGAATTGCATTTTTATTTATAAAATGAAAGACAGCCGAATATCAATAATATCATATAATGTGTATGAATTTAACATTTAGCTTGTGGATGCATGACATCATATTATCAAATGCAAGTAAACTTTTGAAACATTTAAATTAGCATTCATTTTGGCATAATAAATAATGCTATATTTAATAATGCTGTACAATAATTAAATAAAATATTAAATAATGCTAATTTAAGTGTTTCAAAAGTTTATTTGCATTTAATAAGAAGCTGCATGGGCAAAAATTACATGTAAACAATTTTAAGGCTATTTTGGCCATGTTCATCGCTGGTCTGGTTACTGGTATAGGGCTATAGCCAAGCCGTTAAAATTAGACCACATATTGCCTCGATTTCGCCAGGTGGGCTAAAAGCAGAATACTCGTAGCCCGTTCAATTTAGAGCTAAATTGTGGCTACATATAGACCATGCCATGAAATGACACTTATATATATATTATTGACACTGCGAACTTGATGGGATATCAACCATCTCATGCGCTACCTGGCCAAAAAGTACAGTGAATCAGGTTTGACTATAAGTGGGCTACAGATAGCCGCTCTGACTACGAGCTAAATCGTGGCTACGCACAGGCTATAGCCTGTATATATTGAACATGTCAAAGAAATTATACCAAACACCTTGTAAACGCTGTTACTTTGCTTACATGATGGAATATCATACATCTCACAAGTTATTTTGCCAAAAAACCACATGAAACCAAATTCAAGGTTATTTGGGCTAGAAGTGGGTTACACATAGCCGGACTATATCGGGTCTATACTTAACCGAGACGTTGAAATGACAGCTATTGCTTGCTGGGAGGCTATGCTGCTGAGTTTGGTTCATATGCTATTTGTGTGGCGCGGCGCTCTACGAAAGTCCACGGAAAGGAAACCGAGATGACAGAAATAAAGTAAACACATTGCAGTTTCGAATGATCTGTATGACCAAAAATAACAGATTATTTTATTGACTGCGGTCAAGCCAGCCGCACTTCAGAAAAGCACAGTCAAGTCAGCCACTAGTGAAATTATGACGCCCAGAATTGAGATATGATGACATTTTTTAGGATTTTTTTTGCCCATCTGCTTTAATATTCGTGTAATTTATTGTTGTCTTTGACTGTTCTGTATTACAATAATTTTCAAAGGATAATATTACACTTTAGAAGGCTATAAAGACCTAATTTCTAATAAGTAGAAGAAAAGAATGGTCAGTTCGTATACGGGACGTCCCATACTATATGCACACCTCATATGAAACCATTTTACTGCAGCATTTTGGAGATATCGTACATTATTACACTTTAAAGGGCTATAAATATCCCATTACTAATAAGTAGAAAAAAACAATGGTCGGTCCTTATAAGGGACATCCCATACTATATGCGCACCTCATATCAAACCATTTTTTAGGATTTTTTTTGCCCATCTGCTTTAATATTCGTGTAATTTATTGTTGTCTTTGACTGTTCTGTATTACAATAATTTTCAAAGGATAATATTACACTTTAGAAGGCTATAAAGACCTAATTTCTAATAAGTAGAAGAAAAGAATGGTCAGTTCGTATACGGGACGTCCCATACTATATGCACACCTCATATGAAACCATTTTACTGCAGCATTTTGGAGATATCGTACATTATTACACTTTAAAGGGCTATAAATATCCATTTCTAATAAGTAGAAAAAAAACAATGGTCGGTTCTTATTCAGGACGTCCCATACTATATGCGCACCTCATATCAAACCATTTTACTGCAGCGTTTTCAAGATATCGGACATTATTACACTTTAGAAGGTTATAAAATTCCCATTTCTAATAAGTAGAAAAAAACAATGGTCGGTTCTTATTCAGGACGTCCCATACTATGTGCTCACCTCATATCAAACCATTTTACTGCAGCGTTTTGAAGATAAGGGACATTATCACATTTTAGAGGGGTATAAAGATTCCATTTCTAATAAGTAGAAAAAAACAATGGTCGGTTCTTATAAGGGACGTCCCTGTAATGTCTGATTACTTTTCTTGGGACTTAATTATTATTAATTCATTCAGGTTTTGAGAGGACTCGAATTAATCTACAGATTCACTGCAATTAGCACAATAACTGTCAATGAAATCTTCGGCGGATATCAGCACATATTTATACAGACAAAAACACGTGTGGATTTAACCACAATTTCACTTGATCAAGATTTCACAATTCTCCCATAACAAAAATAATGTTCGGACACTCTCTCTGAGTGCCGCATTTTTTTAGTGAATTAAATGGCAGAGGACTATCAAATAGCTAATCTTATTTTCTCAAACCGGGGAGATGAATAGCAGAGTTGCATTTGGAAGTGGGACACGCACTATACAAATCAAGCTCTGAAGGCCCTTCTACAGAAAGTAAACGAGGGACACGCTTGTTGCTTTCTTGTGCGCTCTAAAGCGACTTGTTTTGTCTCGGTGGACAAAATTAAAATGTTTTACTGCAGTTCAATTCTTTAACAACAACTCGAGTTGCACATTCAAACATTCAACACGCTGGTATGCTATAATAACAGGTACAATAGCTCACAAACTCTGTTTCTCTATGTCTCATCTATTCTTCCGGATAAAAATAGACAAGATTCACCATAATTACTTGGTGTCATTAATTTTTAAGTCAAATTTGCCAGCTACTTTCTCCACCATCTGTAATGTCTGATTACTTTTCTTAGGGAATTCATTATTATTAATTCATTCAGGTTTTGAGAGGACTCGAATCTGAAAATTCGAAGTCCACCTGATTAGAACTGATTTTAAATTTGAATAGTTTACACCTTATCAACGGTCGTCCAGCGAGATGTTAATGTCTGTGTATCTTAACAGTCTGACTATGTGTATTTTCCTTGGCCAAAGGCCAATACAATTATGATCATTTGTAAGCTCCTAGCGAGGTAACTTCATCTTGGCAAGGTTTGACTTTAAAATTATACGACACCAGACAATGATTCTTTATAAATGAAACACGAATTTATTGGCTATTCTAAATTACATTGACCTAAGCTAAAACACACATACACACACATATGTTTGCACGCGCTCTCCTTTTATACCCGCGCTGCGGGGCGGGGTGCGCGTGGCGAAGCACGCACGCCAACTGTCATTGGCTTGTTTAGTTAACACTCGAAGGTGATTGGGCTCTCGGGCGAGATCCCAATTCGTCAGTCACTGACGTAACGTCTCCGTTCCCTCCTTCAGGGAACGAGGGTTACACAAGTAACCTAGACGTTTCCTGGTTTGGCTGCTTGATGGAATTCCGTTGCTGATTGGTTACTGAGATGACGTCAGGATGGCGTCCCTTTGGGGAAGATTGGAGATTGGTTGGTTTCTTGATGACACAGAGGCTTGAGCAGTTCTGCTGAAAAAGTCTCTGTTTGCAAGACTTCAAGTTCTTTGAAGATCTCTGACGATCACAAAGTTTCAACTGAAGTGTTTGAGTTTAAGATGAACGATCGCTTTTATGGTAAACGTGTGAGCACAAGTAGGAGTGCTCTTAACACGGCGAAAAGCGACGAAGCAAGCACGCGCGGATAGAAGACCTGCATTGGGGTTTTGATCCGCGGCCTAAGTCCATCCCACGACACAATCTTCCAATCGACTTCTTGCAGGGCGGAGCGTGCATACATTAACATGAGGCTTTAATTCATCACATTGAGGACACCATCTATAAAAGTTGTGTTAATCCTTCTATAAAGTTTCTTAAATGCAAGTATTGTACCTACTATTAACATTTATTTCATTTCAACATTCTGCATTTGTCGTGCCCATTCATTCAAGATTAACTTCACATATTACACACATTTTAATAACCTTATTTCCTAAAACAAAAGGGTAATAAAACACTGATTAAAGTTGCACCGATTACATGAAACACGTCAAGCATATATAAGGCATACAACATATTATTTGTGAATACAGTTTCCCTTTTATACTTAAATGATTGTCTTTTGAATTGTCTGTGTAAGTTCTGTTTCTTTGTCTGTGACAGGAGAAACGCGCACTTTTTCTGGAAAGTAGGAAAAGGAGGTGCCCCTTTTGGAATGCAGGGAGAAAGAGGGGAGATGTCCTGAGGTCATGACACTGTCATGGGTGGAGATCTGCCATTCTTCTAGCTCGGACCTGGAGCTATTAATCTGTTGCTTTATGTTTATTGAATTATCAATTTATGCTTTAAACGGTCATGGGGTCCGGGCGCGTCTGTCGCTGGAACATTTCCAGATACCATGTTCTTTGTTCTGTTGTTTATTAGCTGGTTTATTCATGCTGAAGCCGGTCAACGTTACACTGCACATCTGGTCCCTGAAAGCCCGTAAAACAAAGATAGTTTGTTTCCTAGTTTGAGTTAGGGTTTAGGCAGTTCAGATCCCCCTTAAGGGATAAGGACCAGGCCTTGACCGGAAGCAGGTCCAGACAATTAGGTGCCCTGTTGATCATTGATCTTCTTTACGACCGTAGATAGCTGGGGAGGAGAGTCCTTAGTTTTTCCGGTGGAATGCGGAGATTCAATCGTTCATTTGTGCGATAGTCGCAGAGGCCTTACATCCCATGCTATATGCACACCTCATATCAAACCATTTTACTGCAGCATTTTGGAGATATGGGACATTATTACACTTTAAAGGGCTATAAAGAACACATTTCTAATAAATAGATAAAAACAATGGTCGGTTCTTAAAGGGACAACCCATACTATATGCACACCTCATATCAAACCATTTTACTGCAGCGTTTTTAAGATAAGAGACATTATCACACTTTAGAGGAGTATAAAGATCCCATTTCTAATAAGTAGAAAAAAACAATGGTCAGTTCTTATACGTGACATCCCGTACTATATGCACACCTCATATGAA